GTTAATAAAAACCACTTTAATTATGTGTTTATGGTCCTTTCAGACGTGTGAAGACCCGGGCTCGGCTCCTCAGGAGGTGGCACAATGCGGGTGTTCAGGTGGGGACACAAACCTTGGGGGCTCCTCGGTTCAGGAGAGACGTGGAGCTCCTGCAGCGGATGCAGGGGAGGACGACAGCGAGACTGGAGCCCAGGAAAGGCTGAGGGAGCTGGGGCTGGACCGCTCCAGAGGGGACCCGATCCTTGTCTGTCCCTGCCTGCAGGGAGGGCTCAGAGACAGAGCAGGCTCTGCTCCAGGGGCCCAGCAATGGCACCAGAGCAACGAGCAGGAGCTGAGGCCCACAAGTTCCACCTGAACCTGAGGAAGAACTTCTCTGTGCAGTGACTGAGCCCTGAGCAGAGACCAGAGAGGGTGTGGAGCCTCCCTCACTGGGGACATTCCAGAGCCATCTGGGCACAATCCTGTGCTCTGGGACGTCCTTGTTGCAGCAGGGAGATTGGACCAGATGAGCCGCTGCCGTCCCTTCCAGCTCTGTCCGCTCTGGGATTCTGCGCGTGGGGGGAGGGCTCATCACTGTCCCTGAGTCGCGGTGGCAGTGAGGGCTTTGCAGACCCAAACCGAAGCCAGGTAACCCGCGGACACAGGCGCCCCTCAGGCACAGGCGACCCCCGCCGCCATCTTGGCGCCCCCACGGGACGCCAAGCGCAAGCCACGCCCTCAGCGGCTTCACCTCCCTCACTCCGCCAGTCAATGAGCAGCAAGTGCGGGCAGGGAATTTCCCCAAGCAGCCAATGGAAATTAAGAATGGCCATGGGGCCACCAATAAGCGGCCCGCTGTGGGGTTCCGGCGCTGTCAATCACCGTCCGCACTGAAGCCAATGGGAGCGGGCGGTCTGCGCTGGCCAATGAGCGTTGGCGGATGAGATTTGAAAGCCAGGCGGGCCGGCGCGTGGAGGGGGCTGCGCAGCGCGCGGGCCCGGGGCAGGTAATGGCGGGCCCGGGGGGACCGGGGGTCCCGCGGCGGGGTTTGGGAGCCTGGAGGGGCTTTGAGGGGTCAGAGGCACCGTGACTCCCCGGCAGTGTGCTCCGTAAGGGTCCCGGCCTGGGGGTCTCGCCTGGCGGTGGGCTGGCAGCGGTGCTTCTTCGCTGAGTTGCAGTGGGAACAACCGGAGGCGCTGGCGGGGACGGTCCTGGGCTGGCCCCGCACGGCCGGGTCTGGGCTGGGCCCACAGCCCGCCCCGGGGCCCGGCTTGGAACCGTTGAGTTCAGGTTTTAGTCAGTCTCTACCCGCTTGTATTTGTTTTGGTTCAGAGCAAATTTGGGAGAGGATTTTTAAAGGGGTTTTTGTAGGTAAACAGGTTCAATCGGCCCCTCCCCTTAACCGGTCCGGGAGAAACTACTTTTTTGGAGAAAAGTGGAAAAAAACCTGTTTATTAAACAATGTACCTTAAACAATAAAACTCTTTGCTGCTCTAAAAGGGATGACAGACTGAGAAAAGTCCCCGGGCTGCAGCTGAGCTCACTCAGTCTCTGATCAGTCTGTTCAGTGTTGGAAATGTCTCGGGCCAGGCCCGGCCCGGTGGGCTACAGGTGCAGCTGCCGGTGCTCCCCTGGCTGTTCAGGCCAAAGCAGGTTTCAAGAGGTCTAAGGAAAAAGGGAAACAACTACAGTCTGGGGAACTTTTTGCCTTCAGCTAGCTAAACTAACTAAAAGCAAAAAGAGAGCTCTGTCCTGCTGTCTGTCCATCCGCAGACAACACAGTCAGGAGCAGGGATGCGGAGGAGTGGGTGCAGTGTGTGAAAACAAATTGCGCGCTTCTTCTGTCCCCCCCCTTCACTCTCTGGAACACGTCTTAAAGGTGCAAAAGTGATTATTTAGCATAAAACAGAACGAGACGATTGGGGATAAAAGCATCATATAGTCAACCCAGGACATTGCATTAAAAGTAGCGATACTTGCTCTGCCTGCTCCGCTTTCTCGCTGGTCAGCCTATAATGTTTTCATGTTCGTGTTGCTCTTTGGTTCTTGTTGTTGGTCAAAAGTGTCTCCTTTTCTTTGTTGTTATGTATCAAAAGAAATGGTCAGCTTTAACTTTTGATACTGTACGTTAGCCAGTCACACATCCTTTGTCACAAGGAGTCACAATCCCTCTGTTCCTTTCTTGCTAATGGTCGTGTCCTGCTTTATTTTCTCACTATTCAGCCTAAAAGAGCACCTAAATGTTTTCATGCTCACATTGCCCTTTGGTTCTTGTTGTTGGTGAAAAGTGTCTCTTTTCCTTCGCTGCTATTTATCAAAATTAACAATCAGCTTTAATTTTTGGTACTATATGTTAGCCAGTCACACATCCTTTGTGTAAGTCCTCTGTCCCTTTCTTGCTAATAGTTTTTACTTGAGTTTATGTCAATTTAAATACCAATTAATCTTCTAGGCTCCTGTTTGGACAAGATACTCCACGGGAACAGTAATCTGGGAAGAAGAGGAGACAGGTATTTTTCTTTTGAACACATCTTTGGGATATTGAGCATGATATCCATTTTTAATGAGCCCACAGATATCACTGGTGACCTTGCTGTACTTAAAGAACATGGTTAAGAGTAAATTTAGGAACTTTGTCCTAAAAAGCATGAGTGTAGAGAATAAACTTTAGCTTTGAGGAATATTTAGCATCCACTGGGCTCAAAAGCCTGCTGCTTCTAGGACACAGATAGCAGAGATGTATTCCCACTGTTTTCTTTATGGCTTTCTGTAACACCATGTAATTAGTAACAATTCTGTAATGACTAATTCTGTAATTGCTAGCAGGATCAGTTCAAATATGATTATTGGAGATGCTCATTAATTAACCTCCCTTAATCACTTAAATGTAAAGCAGGGCAAATATGACCTATGAACTGCAGTGGAGTTCTTTGCACTCATCATTAACTGGCATTTTTAATCAGTTTCTGAAAGCTGGAATGCAAGATGCAGGGTGAAGCCCAAGATATTCACAATTCAGGTGGTGCTGGTGTGGAGCAGCTCTTCCAGGACTGTATGGAGGAGATCCAGCCCCTGATTGGAGTTTTGAGTTTTTTATTCCCCTTTGCTCTTTAACTTCCTTTGAATGTTTTTCTCTCCTGAAAAAAGGAGCACAATGCACTGATTTTGGTTTCTGTCCAAGCAATTTTTGCTTTCTGTTCTAAGCAATTCCAGGAGGTTGTGCAGGTGCTGTTGGTGCTGTGCAAGTTCCCCCCTCCATGAGCACTTCCATGGAGTGGAGCACAGGGAGCTGCCACTGATGGTATCTGAACAGGCTTGGGCTGTATTCCTTCTTCCAACAGCTCAGCTTCTCTCCTTGACTGCTTTTCCCATAGATAAATCCACTTTATTTCTGCATTATTTCTATTTTGCTGCTTTTTTTTCTTGTAACATTTGGGTTTTCCAGCTAGGCTGCTGGTTGAGTTTTTGGCTTTTGGTGGCACATAGGTGGGAAGGGGATGGACTTTAAGAAATCCTGTTCAAACATTGTCAGGGCTGTTCAGTTCACTTCACTGATGGTTCCTTCAGTTTGACCAGAGCATGCTGTCCTGAAATGGAGAGGCCTCAGTAAATGACTCAATTACCAATGAATTAATAACTGTTGGGTGTTTAGTTTTGTTGCAGACATGTTTTATGAAAAATCCTTTCCTTAGGATTTTTCCTCCTGAGAGGCTGAGAGGCCTCAGAAACAAAATGTAATCAATGATTATCTGCTGCTGTGGAATGCAACAGGAGCATCTGGGATTGGTCTCATGTGGTTGTTTCTAATTAAAGCCAATCACAGCCCAGCTGGCTTGGACTCTCTGTCTGAGACAGAAGCTTTTGTTATGATTCTTTCAGATTCTATTCTTAGCTAGCCTTCTGATGAAACCTTTTCTTCTATTCTTTTTTTATTCTATTCTATTCTTTTAGTTTTAATGTAATATATACCACAAAATAATAAATCAAGCCTTCTGAAACATGGAGTCAGATCCTCATCTCTTCCCTCATCTCAAGACCCCTGTGATCACTGTCACATAGTTTAGCTCTGTCACCCTGCTTACTGTAAAGCTGTTTTCTGTAAGTGGTGGGAGATGTGTCATGGCTGAGGTGGAAAACCTTTGACAAACCAGGTTTCAGTGGGGATGTAGGGGATAACAGAATCCCAGAAAGGGTTGGGTAGGAAGGGACCTTAAAGCCCATCTTGTTCCCATCCCCTGCCAGGGGCAGGGACACCTCCCACTGTCCCAGAGTGCTCCAAACCCCATCCACCCTGCCCTTAAACACTTCCAGGGATCCAGGGGCAGCCACAGCTTCTCTGGGCACCCTGTGCCAGGGTCTCACCACCCTCACAGAGAAGAATTTCTTCCCAATATCCCATCTTACCCTGCCCTTTGTCTGTTTACATCCATTGCCCTTGTTCTGTCATTCCAGACCCTCTGCACCTCTCCTGGAGCCCCTTTAGGTACTGTTAGCACAGCAAGTGCAAACCAGCTGACAGTTGGCTTAAGGCTTCCTCAAGTTAAAAAAGATGGGGAAAATTCTGCTTGAAATAACCACTCTTTATTGCAGTTGCATCCTGGAAACATCCTGGTTCTGATGGCAAAATTCCTTGCTATCAGCTAGGTCTAATCTAAATGGAATGTTGCTTCCAAGTATTGTCCTACAGCCCTGTCATTTACTTGCTCATCTCCTTAATGTGGAAAACAGCTGTGGAGAAAGCAGCCCAGCCAATCCCAGACATGGGGGCAGTGTCCCCTCCTAATTCTGTGCCAGACTTGGTGACACTCAACACCCAAACTGGTCCCTGGAATGAATAAAAATAATGAGAAATTGCTGAAAGAGTCGTTCCTGAAATTGTCATTTGAGTTTTCTCTGGTCATGTACAGAAATAAAGAATTCAGGGCTTTGCTCATATAACATTAACAAACTTTACCAAAAATGGAAAACAAATCATGACAGTGTTTTCCTAATCCCTGTACTTGTTGTCTAAGGTCATCAGGATGGCTGCTACTTCCCAGTTTGCCAGTAGATACAAGAAGGATTTGAGCACAGAAGCCCTCAGGACCAAGATTGCCCGCAGGAAATCCATCCTTCAGAAGGAGAACAGGCACAAGCTCTTCGAAAAGGGCCGGCAGCTGGGGCTGGCAGATGTCAATGTTCAGCTCTCCAAGGACAGGGGAATTTCTGAGCTCAAGGAAACCAGGGACTTGTGCTCTCAAGAGAACTCCAATGTGAAACAGAGTAAGTAAAGAATTGCTATAGACCTTTTTTTTTTAAGTGTTAAAAATTGTAAGTAGGTTTAGTAGCATTATCACAGATAGTCAACATTTTAATTTGACAAAATAGTTGAAGATTTAAAACCCTATCAGCCTTTCCAAGTGTTAAAAATCAAGACAATAAATTCTTAATACAGCTGTACCTCCCTCACTGCTCCAGTGGTGTGAATGAAGCTTTACTCTGATTTGTCTGCAGCAGCTAAAGGAAGAATGCATTTTCTTATTAATATTCAATAGAAGTGCCTTTATGACTGCTTTGTCCTTTAAGGTGTGAAAAACTCCAATCTAAAATACCATCTGATACACATGCCTGTCATGTACCTAAAGTGTGCTTAGCAATGGACAATTTTATAGATAAAATTATTAATGGATAAATGCATTATATGGTTGTATTTTGAAAATAGCTAGTTTTTGACAAGTTATGTTCCTCTCAGAAAATAGAGCTTACATATATGCTGAATTCTGCCCCCTGGCTCTCCTGGATGCCTGTGGTCTAAGAAATTAAGTTAATATTTAAAAATGTTAACAAGTTTTTAGAAATACTTTCACCTTTAGTATTTTGATAGCAGAAGATTATTGGAAGATAGTAATTTTTTGAAGACTGTTGGTGTATAATCTTAATTCCAACTGATTATTGGAGTGGAGATTATTGTATGTAATAGTATCAAATATGAAATCTAATAAATTTGTCTTGATTATCTTTAATAAATTTCAACTTTAAGTGGATATTAATGTTTCAGGTAGACATAATTCAAGTTAACCAACATCTTAAGGTTTTATTCTTTCATATAACTTCTGCCTCATTTATTCTCAGCCTGAGTCAGACTTTGGTATCTAAAGCTGAGTTTTCAATGACATTGCAAGTGTTTGAATAGAGAAATTGGTACAAATAAACCAAATAAGAAGAACCAGTGACCTTGCAAGCCTGTGGAATGGGAGTGAGTTTCTAGTAATCCTCAGGTGGATATTTGGGGAATTCTATTTGTAAGCTGAAATTTACCATTGAATTCTCTTTTAGTGGGAAGGGTTAAAACAACTTAGAGATTCCAGTCAGTTCCTCTTCCAGCTTGGCAGAGTTTATTGGAAATTTCTGACTTCTTGTTGGCTCCAAAACCATCTTTATGGTTTTCGAAGCCATCTTTGTTGCATGTTTGCTGCAGAGGCAGCCCCAAGTGCAGGCACCAAGAGGATGAACGAGCGCAGGGAGATGCTGCAGCGCTACAAGGAGGAGAAGGAGCTTCGCAAACTGCAGGAGCAGAGGGAGAGAGCCAGGAAAGGGGTGTTCAAGGTTGGGCTCTACAGACCAGCTGCACCTGGGTTCCTTGCTGCTGAGGAAACTGCAGTAGCAAAGCCAAGAGAGAAGGTAACAATGAGAATATTTCATATCTAAGTTAATTGCATCTGTGTACGCCGTTTAAATTGATATTTTTGTACAAGATGTGTGTGTTATTTCAAATAAAGTGCTTATTTTGCAAATGCTTTATTAATGTTATGATAAGGGAGTAATTTGGCTCATTCTCTTTTCTAAACAAAGCTGGAAATAGTACTAATGATATGTGGATTTTTGTCTTTGTGACTATGTTCAGTTCAAAAATTGGAATGATTCATCCACAAATGAAAGAGCTGTGTTATTTTAGAACCAGTAACTTGTTCATATTTAGTCAACTCAGCTTTGAAAGCTTTCACACTTGACCCATTTTGCACAGACATGTTGTTTTTCACATTTATGCTCCTTGTTCATTCTCTCAGTGACAAAGGGAAGAAGGAGTTTATTAACTCTCATTTCCTTGGGGATGTTTCCAGGCAGCTCCTGCTTTCTCTGGAAGGATTACTCGGTCAAAAGCCAAGATCCAAGAAGGAAGAACCATGATACCAACTGCACCTAAGTCCTCTACGGTTTGTTTTTTATATATATATATATATATATATATATATCATCTATAACTTCAGTGAATAAATTTAGAGAAAGGGATGAAATTTCAGACTCAGGGTAGTATCTTTACAAGTTTGATTAGATCAATGCAAGCAGAAAAGAGCCCAGGTTTTCTGGATCGGTTTGTCAATCAAGTTTTTCAAGATATTTAAACTGTTGCTTAAATATTTTTCTTCACTCTTTTTCTGACAATTTATTAACTAGTTGGATAATGCACAATAACATATCCCTAAACCAATCTATTTTAAGTTATCCTTAATGTCTTTCTACTTTTTAATACCCTCTGTGCCAAATTATTTGACTTTTTTCTTTACTGGAATCTAGAATAGATAGATGAGGAAAGAAATTGGGCTGCTGATTTTCTGGAAGTCTGATACTTCACAAAAAACCTGTTTTTTTTTCTCCTAGGTCAATGCCCACGGGCAGAGTGTACGCTCTACACAGGCAGGACATAAACAGATGAGTACAGCCAAAGTGGCTGAAAAAGAGAAAGGTATGGAAATACAGCTGAACCTGAAAGTTGGGTGTTTTTGGGGAGAAGATCCACAGCACATTTTTGGGTGTAGGGAGGAAGGAGGAGATTTTAAGATGGCCATTCCTACCAAGGGCAGCAGCTGGCAGATTATCAAGTGTGTGGCTCCAGGGCTCACATGAGCCTCTTGCCTCCATAGGCTGGGGGAAATGGAATGCAGGGTCCTGACAGTCCTGGTTACTGATTATTCCCCCTGGGAGAGGGAAAAGAAACAGGTCAGTAGGCAAATTGCACAACTGCCAGATGCCTCAGCTCCTGGAGCTGACAGAGGTTCCTGTTTGCCTCAGGAAGAATATCACAGGTAGTGACTGCTGTTAGAAAAGAGCAAGTGCCTTCTGTATCTGTCACTCTGTGCCACAATCACAGGTATTTCTTAAGAAAATAGAGATTAAAAATAAACAACCTATGCCACCTTTAAGGGATTTGAATGCCTTGGATCAGAAACTCTTCTTCATAGCTCAGTGAGATCCTTAAGTGGATACAACCAAGTCATGTGGAATGTTGATGTTAATGCAAGATATTCAGTAATTCAGAGTGAAATGACTTTCACATCATTAATCTAATCAAATCAGCAAGCTGCAGACCTTTATTGAATTTCAGTAGTGCCCTTGGTGAATACTGAAAAGATGTGTTATTAGTGTTTGATATAACAATTAAAATGTTTAATTCTTGCAAAACGGTCATCCACTGATTATTTCTTTCTAAAATTGATTATTTCTTTTGTACTGAATCAAGGATATACATTATATGTACTTAAACTTCCCTACCCGTGGCAGGGAGGTTGGAATGAGGTGATCCTTAAGGTCTCTTCCAACCCAAACCATTCTGTGATTCTTTGAAACACCCATATAAAAATGTTTGGGAAGTGAATGTTTGATGAATCCAATGTTGTAGTTATTTACCCAGTGATTTTTTTTCCCAACTTTTCATTCTAGCTTGTACAGAATCACAGCTTGACAATAAAGACAGGAATAGCATTAACAGTAACCAAGTGGGGATTTCAGACAGGCAGGAAATGGAATAAAGAGCTCCCATGAAATTTGTGCAGGAAAGTGCTGTCATTTTAAAAACCTGTTAGAAACAGTGCTAAAATACAGAGATAAAAATGATGATGATGATGGGTGATACAGTGCATGAACTTGTCATGTTTTATAAAATATTTCAGAGCAAATTAGTCCTAAGAGTACTTTGTTAGATTGCATTAAATTCTGACCTTGGAAATCTTTCATATAATGGCCAGGGCATCACTTTGTTACCAATGGTTTGCTTTAGCTTCCAGCTGTGCAAATAACCATGGCAAAGATATTAATCTAAAAAACTTCATCTGTAAAATAGGGAGGGCCTTGACTCTGCTTGCAGGGAGCAGTGGGAAGCATTCCTTATTAATGTAATGATAAAGGAGTAATTATTAATATTATGAAAAGGGAGTTTGTGCATGGCATCAAACACACAGATGGGCCTGTGCAGTAAAACCACCTCCAGCCAGGATCCCTCAGTGCATTGCCTGCATCCCAGGGCCAAGCTGTGCCCTGAACTGACCCAACCCTGTTCATTCTGGCAAAGCCATGCAACTGATAACTGCTGGTGCATTTCTCTGATTTCTACAAAATGGAAACTTTCAGTTATTCCTTGAGTGCAGCTCCTTATTAAACTTGGAATCTCTGGGATTAATCTCTCTTGCAGTGTTGCAGACTGCAGCCCAGCCAGCCCCAAGTGTGAGAGTCACCAGAGCAGCTGCCTCTGCAGCCAGGCAGGTGCTGAAACCAACTGCTGCTGCTGCTGGTAAGTGAGGCAGAGCTGTGTAGCTCAGCTGTACCTTAGACTGCATTTAAATCATGCCAAATTATCATCTAAGAAAAGGCCTAAATGCTGGGTCACCCAGACTCTTGTCTGGAGCTCTACATCAACGTGTTGAAACCAACACTTCCCACAAAATCCATCAGTGGGGAGCACCCATGTCCTCATGGTAGTTACAAACTCAAAGAACAAAGCCAGCACTGGTAGAGATTGGCACTTTGGCTGTTTATGGCCATATAATTATTAAATATGTGAGCAGGAACATATCTGGAAGAGATGAGAGCATTTGTTCTTCAGGTGAGGAATTTCTCTTTATGTTTGCCTGTTTACTGGAATTCAGTCCACCAACAGAATTCCTATGCCATATAGAAATTAAAAATGTAAACTCAAATTGGCTTGACACTCTCTCTCTAACCTTTTAGGAAATAAGGTGACTTTTATTTTTATTGTGTGGCAAGATCTAAAGATTGATGGCTTCATGAATGTGTTTTCTTGCTGATACATCTGTTACTAGTCTGTTAAATCCTAGGCTAGGCTTTCTTTTGAATGAACTTTTGCAATGCTAATTCTTCCCTGTAGCCACCTCCCACCCAAGAAATAAAACAGTCTATCCCTATCTTTAGCAACTGGATTTTTCTGGCAGTGTTCTGGTGAAAGATTACATGAATCAGATGCCTTTTTGACCTCTGGAAGTGTCTCTTTTTGTAGGTAACCAGCCACAGAGAAAGGCAGCAAACACAGTAGGAAAGCAGAAGAAAGCAGTCAAACCTGAACCCATAAAGGTAGGTCATGTAATAATTGAAATAGAAAAGCAGTAAAACTCATTTGAGATCCAATAACTGTGTCATTGTAGCTGAAGTGCTCAGACATAAAAGCAGTAATTTCAGTAATAAGCTAGAATTTGGGAAGGAGCTGTATGTATTTATACTGCCATATTCTAAAAATTAAGATCAAATTTAGTGCTCCTGTAGAATCTCAGAATACTGTGACTTGGAGGAGACCACAAGGATCATCCCAGTCCAACTCCTGGCCCTTCACAGGCCAACCCCAAGAACCCCACCATGGATATGGACATGGCTGATGAATGATGTGATTACTAATCAGGATCTGGACAATGATTTAAAATAGACAAGAAGTTCTTCCATGACATGTCTGATGTTTTAACTAGTCAAAAAAAAAATGCTTTGCTGGTTTAATCAAGCAGCTGTACATTTTTGAAGTGTGTTCTGAATGGATCCTTTTCCTGCTCAGGTAACAATATGAGACTCTAGAAGCTAAGAAATAAACACATTTTAATATTTAGGGTTTTAATAAAAACGTAAATTTTAGGTTTTGAACCACCAAAAAATAAAGCTGGAAATGCTGTTCTCTGCAAAGGAGAACATTATTCTCTGCATGATTACAGCTGAAAGCACTCATTGTGGTTCTTGGTGTCATCACTTCCAGAATTTTTTATGCATTTCTGTGCAAGAGCTCTCCATGATTTTTTCCTTCTTTTGCTCCACCCTTCCCTCTCACACCTCCCATCTCCACCTTGTTCCTGTAACTGAGCTGTGCTTTAGAGTGTTTGAGATTGTGCAATCACAGCCAAACAGGAGGTGAGAGCACTTTTCTGTTCCTTGGACAAGCACCTCTTCACAGGCAGGAGTCCCTGCCAGTTGGTAACCACAGGCAGCTCATTTGGAAAGGTTGCCTAAAAGCAAAATTCAAGGTTTACATTCCTAGCAGAGGTGACTGAAGTATAACAAGACTTTCAGTGGGTTGAAGATGCATGTTTTCTTGAAAACCACCCAAAGTTTTTCTGGCTGGCTTGAGCTAACAATCTCAATTAGGTATCTCAGAACTGTGTTCTGTGTGACCATCTGGTCATTCATCTCATAAGAATGGGAATTATTGTTTAATTTTTTTCTCCTCTTTTAATGGCATTCTGTGGTGCTAACTGCACTTGGGTTGCATTCCTCAGCTATCAGCCTATTGCAGCTTGTTTTTCAGTCTTTGGATTGGAGTATGTGCACAAACTATGGTTATTCAACAGTCCTAGTTGGATTTGGAACCAGTAATTCTGCTCTTGAGGATTTTATCACCTTAAAGCTTTTATTTCTAGCAGTGGGAGCAGGCATTTGTCAATTTTAATTATTGTTTTGGTTGGTAAGGTGTTCTGCTTTAGCCCCTGGAGTGGATTGTTGCATTCTTTGTAGTGAAGTGTTAACTTCTGGCTCTAGAATGATTTGCAGGTGTCAAAAATGGTTGGGCTTGTTGGTAACTCATCACTTCTGTCCAGATGTGCTGGTTTAGGACTGATTTACCTTAAACTGTTCCCTTCCTGGTGGCTGTCAGACACTCATGTTATAATTCAGCCCATGCCTATTGCAAACACGTGATTGATTTGATTTCTCTGTCTATGCTGTTACAGATAATTTCTTCTAAACATGAAGTGGAGACAAATGCTGGAGTGGAACCAGAGCTGAAAAGTTCTGCAGCTGATTCCAAGCACTCAATGCCAGTAGAACCTCCACAAGAACAAACCTCAGTGGAAAACAACAATTTTTCTCCAAGGAGACCCAGAACACGCTCCTTTGCACCTCAAAACTTTGTGTTTCAGCCTCTGAGTGGATTGGCAACCTACACTGTGACACCCATGTCTCCTTCAAAGGCAAATGCTTTTTTGACACCCAGTGCTGTCTGGAATTTTTCAAAATCTCCAGTGTAAGAGTCTTCCTTCTAATGGGACCTGAAATGCAAGTGAACCTCTGTGGGGTTGCAAAAAATCATTTTTCTATAGAAAGATTCACTCTTTAACAAAGTGTTGTGGTGTTGTAACACCTGATCCCTCATGATTTCTGTCTTTGCTTAAATGTGGACTCAACACAACAGCAGAAATGGATATAATCCATTATTCTGTTCATGCTTGAGGAGCAGCTGTCAAAGACTCTGCCCTGTGTCTATCTGCACTGATTTATTTATTTGAGTTCTCTAGTGTTGTGTGGGGGTTTGCCTTCTAAACTGTGCATTTCTGTGAAATTGGCTATATTTGATGTCACTTTCTCAATGTGTCTTGACTAAATGTACTTTTGTTTGTTTTCAGCAAAATATTTGAAAAATCCAGTGAAACTAAAAAGCCTAATTTAAAAAGTCAGCCTTCACCTTCTGTTAAAGGCATTCAAGAACAGCAAATGACCACAAGTTTGAAAGGAGGAGGTAGGAAATTCACATTTAGTTTATGCTGATGCTTTTAATTATCACCAGATTCTGAACAAATTCCTTTCATGCTTTTCAGCAGGTGAATCAGATGAGAGAGCTTCCATTCAGAGATCAAACAAAACAACTCCTGCCTCAACAACACTTGCAGTGAAGTCAGATGATACAAGAGAGCAGGAGCATGATGTGCCCTATTTCAGGTTTGCCTTCACTTGTTTCACTTCCCTGATGTCCATTTGAAGATTGTTAATAAGAAAAACAAGACTTCTTCTAAAGATCAGCTTAATTTAATGGTGTCAGCTGTGACTTGAGCAGGCAGACATTCCTGCTTTCTTTTTTATACCTTAAGGTACAAAAGGTACCTTTTGTACCTGTTTTCCTTGCACCTAAGTGCAAGGAAAGTAAAATTCTGGAGACCAACACCTTGTCCTAAGGATCATAAGGATCAAAGCAGAAAAGAAATTGCACTTCAGCCACTCAGCAAAATAAAACAATCTAATCTCCAGCTCAGAGGCTGTGGATTCTCTGAGAGCAAAAGGATAGTAACCATTAACAGGCATCACAAGTCAGGAAATGCTCCAAATCCTTATTTTTTCTCTCTCTTTGTATTTTCAGAAACGTTCTTCGGGCTGAGACAGAGCGGCTGCTGTCTCAGTGCCTGCAGTGGGAAGGAAACCTTGAGCTGGACATTGCAGAGGATGGTAAGAGTGAGCTGCAGCAGGCACCAGAAGGGCTCTGGGAGTTGAATGGGACAGAGAGAAGGATATGTGATATGTATGTGTGGTTTGCAAAATAGCAAAAAAAAATCTGCAAAGGTGTACTAGAGAAAGTTTAGAGTTGGATCTGCCCCAAGTCTCCTGGTCCTAAAATTTGTGTAGCATTTGCAATGATGGTGATTGGTAAAGTGAACAAAGTGCTCATCAAAATAGTTGTTCTATTGCTAGTCAGTATTTAAATGTAGGAACTTTACCCAAGCTGATTTTTAAAAATAAGATTAGCTTTTAATATGGAATTTCCCTTATCTGGGAAAATACAGATGACTCCAGCAATGCTTATCTTTAAGAATTGAGAGAGAGAATTTTCTTTGAAAGAAGCAACTTCAGAGCATTTCAGTGGACAGGAAAGCTCCATCTGAATTGAATTGCAGGTTTGCAATAGGTGGGACAACAAATTCCAGACTCCTCAAACACTTATTTATCTAAGATATCCTGTATTTTTCTTCTTCTTGCTACCAGCTAAAGACCTGATTCGCACCACAGTTGGTCAGACAAGGCTGCTCATAGGAGAAAGGTTCAAACAGTTTGAAGGACTGGTTGATAATTGTGAATTTAAACGAGGTGAAAAAGAAACAACATGTACAGACCTGGATGGATTTTGGGATATGGTTAATTTTCAGGTATGTACTTGTTTGTTAACTGAGTAGGATAAAACTGATGGAGTTATTTATGAACCAAGTATTGAAATTTTTTTGGTTATATTTTTTATCTTTAATGTAAAAAATGCAGGTTCTTGTTTTAACACATTGTGACAGTGAATTGTTGCAGTTGGGATACTATGAGTTATAATTCATGGACCAGTTCTTCTGTTGTTTTTTGGGCTGTGTGCCTTGTCTGTCTCTGGAATAATTATGTTTGGCCAAATTTTATTCTCTTTTGGAATGAGGATACAGTCACAATGTCTACCTCCCAGTTTTTGGAAAATTCCTGAAGCTCACCTGAAAAGTAGGGGTTCCATGCTTCAGTATGAGAATAAAGCAGAAATGACAATAACTCTATTTAGGGCTGAGCTTAGGTGGTAGAAAACTGACAGTGTTCACAGGGGTCTTGGGATGAGGGAAGAGATGAGGATCTGACTCCATGTTTCAGAAGGCTTGATTTATTATTTTATGATATATATTACATTAAAACTGTACTAAAAGAATAGAAGAAAAGGTTTCATCAGAAGGCTGGCTAAGAACAGAAAGGCAAAGAAAGAATGATAACAAAGGTTTGTGGCTCAGTCTCTATGTCTGAGCCAGCTGGACTGTGATTGGCCATTAATTAGAAACAACCACATGAGACCAACCCCAGCTGCACCTGTTGCATTCCACAGCAGCAGATAACCATTGGTTACATTTTGTTCCTGAGGCCTCTCAGCTTCTCAGGAGGAAAAATCCTAAGGAAAGGATTTTTCATGAAAAGATGTCTGTGACAGAAAATCTTCATCTCTGTTCCTCTGTTGATGCTTTCTTTAGTTTCAGAATGAAATATAATCTGAATTATCAAAAGAGCTCTCAACAGTATTTGTAAATCAGCACTCAACAAAGGAGTTTGTAAGTAATTAAATTAAGTGCAGAGTTGGATTTGTTATGGTCCTAGTCACAGGTTTTGACTTCTTTGCAGAAAGTATAAAAGTTTGATCTCCTTCTTCAGAAGTATTTGAGAGATGTTTCCTGCAGGATGGAAGACTGTGCTTGTTTGAATAAAGGTTATTTTACAATGTATTCTTTTGCTTTCCTTCAATGTGACCAACAGATTGAAGATGTGAATAAAAAGTTTGATAATCTGGTGAAGCTCCAAGACAATGAGTGGCAGCCACTTGATGTCCCAAGCAAGGCAGTTGTCAAGGTATGAATACCCCTAAAGCACATCTTGCATGGCTTCTTTAGATATATTGAATATTAAGTGAAATTCCTCTCAGGGTGCACCCTTCTCCCCCACCTCTCCTGTATTATTTGGTGGGTTCAGTCCTAGTTGCTTCTTTTGGCTGCTAAGATTAGAGCTAAGAATTAACAATGTAATTTTTGGAGTCATTGGATTCTATGCTAGTAAGAAAAATCACTTAAATTTAGGATATTAACTTACTCTTCAGATGTAAAACAATTTATCTGGGCCACTGACATAAGTGGGAAGTAAACCACCCAGGAATTTGGGAGTGACTGCCAGTTTTGAGCAGTGCTCCATTGTAATGGTGTCCCATTAAGCCAACACCATGGGTGGCTTTAAACTGCTGCTTCTCTAAGCACAAATGGATCTGACAGTCTCCAAAATAAGTTAGTGCTTATTGCAAAATAAGCTGTAATGTGAGCTGGTTTATCTATTCTTTGGTTTGAAATATATAATTGCTTCTGAATATCAAGTTGTATTTGCATTGCCTAAACTCCAAGTTCTTTGAGACTGCTTAACTAATCATAAAATTGAGATGAAGGTGGATAAGAAACTCCAGGCATGGGAAAACAGAGGGAATGTGGTCTGTGGGAACTGCCCATAAATGCCAGAACTCTTCAGGTGGTACAAAACAAAACTTCCCTTGGAAAACTGAATGCCATGAGAGGCTTCACTGACTGCCTGGAGTCTGTGCTGTGGTTACACTGTGTCCTTGCCACTAGGAGTCCCTGCATCCCAGTGCTTCCAAAATCTTACTGAATTTATTGGGAAAAAAAGTTATACTGAGGATTTTTGAACTGCAGATTCATTTGAAAAAAAATTATTGATGTTGTCATCACAGACTTACCTTAACAGCTGGATGGCAGCCCAAGAAATGCTGGGGATGGGCAGAGGCCTTGATGCATAAAATTGTAGAATTGTTGAGGTGGGAAAAGTCCCCAAATTTAACCCTTCCTCCAGCACTGTCAATGCTGCCACCACCACCTGTCCCCAAGGGCCACATCTCATGGCTTTAAATCCCTCCAGGGATGGGGACTCCACCCTTCCCTGGGCAGCTGTGCCAGGGCTGGACAACCCTTTCAGTGAAAGTATTTTTCCTGATATCCAATCATGATATCCAAACCTCCTCTGGTACAAATTTTTCCAGCTTCATTGCTCCTGTTCCCTGGAGCAGAGCCTGAAACCCCCTGGCTGTCCCCTCATGGCAGGAGCTGTGCAGAGCCACAAGGTCCCCCCTGAGCCTCCTTTTTTGCTCCTTGCTGTGTCTGTGGCAGCAGCACCTGTGCAGAGGTTCATGTGCAACTGCTCCTGTGCAGAATTTCCAGGTGTGACCCAGGTTCCTTTCATTCCAGAAAAAGGCAGTGCCAGGTGGAATGCCCAAGGCCAAGCTGGAAGCTGCTGCCAGAGCTGCTGCCCGGAGCCGTCTGGCTTCTGTCAAAGCAGCCATGAGGGACAGAATGAAGCAGGGGGGAGATGCTGAAGGTGCCCAGCAGGAGAGGCTGCCAGAGACAGAGAAAGTGGTTTTTGAAGCAGGATTTTTCAGGATTGAAAGCCCTGTGAAAAACTTTTCAGGTAGGTGAAGGTTAATCGTGATTTCTGTGATCTGAAAGTACCAAAGAGGGTTTAATCCATTTCACTGAGGAGAGGAATTGTGCTGTTTGTTCTGGCTGCAGCTCCAGGACTGGACACACTGTTTCACCTAGTGCCTGATTACATCAGGGCTCCAAAGTAAACTGGGGTACATGAATGTGCTGATTTGAGTGGTTATGGCAGCATGAAATCCCTGCTTAGGCAGAGGTGAACTAGCTGGTTCATGTTTTTCCAGCATAAATTTAATAATGAAATTCTAATCTGAGCATGCCCAGATTCAGCTGATGAGCCCTTTCATCAAAGTCAATGCCAGCTCACATCCTCTAATTGCAGGACAGGAATTGGGATTTCTGTTTTTTAATTAAACTTCTTGCAGTGCTGTTTTCAAAGCTGCAAATAAAGTCCACTCATAATCTGTGCTCATGGTTAACAAGATTGTAACATAATCCAGTTTGCTATAAAAGCTGTTTAATAGTTCAGGTTTTTTAACAGGTGCTCAAAATATAACTTCATCTCCAGCATTTTATCTTATTGACATCTATATGCAGCCAGTATTTCCAGTACTTCTGCTTCTCTCACATTTCTAGTTCAGAATTTGATTTTAAATTCCTTTTTTTGGGTGCAGAACTCTCTTCTCATGACAAAATTAACAATTTTTTTCATGTGCCTCTTGTAAGTAGGGGGGAACTTCTGAAAAGCTTTGAGCACCACTGGGTTTAAGCCAATTCCAGCAGAGAATCTGTTCTAAGCATCAGTTCTGAATCTGTGTCTTTTAAACTCTATTAAAATGGCCTCATTTGAAAGATGGAAGTTAATCATTTCAATTTCTCTTTGCAAGTGTATGTAAGATTTCCATCTAATATTTGTATAAGATGATTCAGCAAGCAGAAAACAATTATGTCTCTGGTTAGAATCATAATGTGATCAGTTCATTTCAGCTTCTGGAAACTGCTGTAGAAATGAAATATGAAACACATTTTCCAGGTTTGCTTCCAAGGACCCCTGGAAAACTGGCAAATCAAAGATCATCCATTAGATCTCTGCTTTCTTCTCCTCTCTGTAACCCTGAGGATGCATCTGCAAAACAAACCCCATCAGCCCTCACAGGCTCCCACCCAGTCCAGAGTCTGAAAATGGACCAACTTCCCACTGAACAATCTCCCCCACTGGATAAACTCCCTGAAAGTCTTGAACAGAGGTAGGCATGTTAAAGCAGCTTTTAATTAACCTTGTGCAAATCATTTTAGAGTTGGAACTGAAAGACATGATGTTAAAACCCATTAAATGTTACCTTTCCATTTGGCAGTGATAAAGTTTGCCAAGTGCTTGTGATTTTTCCTTCCCTTAAGCAAATATTAAGAGCTTTGCTCAAATTTAATTTTGCTGCTGGGGTAGAAGTTTGTTTGCCCAGGAAGTTTGAATTTGATGTAGCTCAGCAGTGCCAACCAAGGCAGCAAAACTGCAGAACAAATTGTAACATTAGCTGGACAAGTCAGAAGGTGATTGATGAAGGTGATTGAGAAGACTGAAAATGTTTTGGTTTTCCTTCCAGCATTTCTGTTGTTGCAGAAGAAATGTGTCTGGCTGCTGGCACAGCAGAGGGAAATAAGGTAAGTCATGCATTGTTCATGGATGTGCTTTAAATACTCTGGTTTTGCTAGCAAAGGAAAAATTCTTTTGATTTGACCCCAGCCCCTTGGATTTCTGATCAAATCCTCACTTAGAAATCTTGTGTATTCCTCAGGGCAGTGCTTTTTACCTCTGGGTGGACAAAGGTGGAGACTGCTGCAGTTTGGGGGCCTTGTCTTGCTCTTTAGAGCTGTATTTTGGGGGTCCTGGCTGCTCCAGGGGGACACTTGTCACTTGGAGAAGCAATGTTCACCACCTCCTGTTTTCTGGTGGGGATTTTAAAAATGCATTTAAAGTATAATAATGCATTATGTGATATATGTAATACAATAATAATGTAATATAATAATGCATTATGTGCATAATTATGCATTAAATGCATTTATGGACCCTGACTAAAAGCAACAGCACTCAGTCCTCAGAGCATCCTCCACAGCAGAGCATTGGGCTCTTAATCTCCTTAATTAGTTAAAAGAACTAATCCAAGAGTCAGAAATCCATGTCCTGAAATGTCTGCAGACTTGGTGACATTGCCTGTGTTTGAGTGGCCTTCAAAAAGCAGGAATGTGGCCTCTAATTCAGATGATGCTGTGCTACCAGTGAAAGTCAGTGCTTTGGAGTCAATCATCCTTTAGGAACTTCCATTGGAAATGGAGTCTATCAATTTTATTTGTTGCTGCTTGGATCTGTGCATGACTGCAGCAGTCATTTCCCCTCCCATCCCCCTACATATTTTTTTTTAAATCCTGGTTACTAATTTTTTCTTATGGCTTTTACTACATCCTTTCTCTATTAAAAGGAGTGTTGGTGATTTTACTCTCTGGGGAAACCTTTCAGTGTTGCTGATGGGTTTTTCTGGAGGAAAAGTCACCAGATAACACTTGAAGTTCAAAACCTTCTTTCCTGTGGAGTAACTTCCCTTATACTGTCAGAGGGATTTTCAGGCTTTGGAGGGCATTTGGGATGTGAGTCACAGCCTTAACCCTGAGCCTTGGCCTGCCTGTGCCTTGCTCAGTGCCTGCAGTTAAATAAATCTCTCCTGAATTGTCCATAAGATCTGTAGGTGAGATGGGTGGGCTGGGTCTGACATAACAAGGACATGGCTGGGCACAGAGCAAATCCCTGTTTTTCAGGTCCTGGGAGATTCTAGCAGTGACTCAAGAGCAGGGGATGGCATGGAAGAGATGGAACTGTCTGCTGCAGAGCAGGGACAAGACATCATCATGTGCAGCCCAGACAAGGAGACAAACTCTGCTCAGTCTGGAGAGCCACAAATCCATCAGCCAGGTGCTTCTCTCAGAGCTGCAGGGGTGGCATTGCTGGGGCCTTCTGTTATCCTAAACATTTATAATAATCTGAATATTACTCTTTAAAATCAGATTGATTTGTTGGTGCTGTTAGAAAAGCCTCCCTTAGCTGGTGTGACTTAAACACAAGTTGCACATGAGCAAACAGTGCCCTTGGATTTCTCTGAACAGTTTCTGAGGGATATGTGAAAGAGAAAGCTAATATAAAGAAATAAATACACTTTAGAGTTTGGATTTCTTCTTTTAATAAATACAGAAAACAATACTGTTTTTTCAGCTTTGGCAGCATCAGACTAACTTTTTTTTAAATTATATTCTTATTTTTCAGATGTTTCATGCAGTGATTTGACACTCATTGACAGAAATCCTTTTGATATGGTAAGTTGACCTTCAAGTTGATTTGACTAAGGCAAGCTGCATGGTGCAGGACTGTTCACCTTTGCTGCAGACTCAGTTACTGCACAAAGGAAATTAAACTCTTAAAGATGTTATCAAGCCAATTGGTGTAGCTTTAAACACAAACCACATTCCAGCTGTCTCCTTGCTGGGCTCACACTGGTGTTCCTTATTGCACATGATGAGTGTAGGATGAATCAAGACATTTGTAGCAGGACAATGTCTGATTCTTGTCAGATTGAGCCTTTAAGTTGTATTTCTTACAAATTTCCTTGTAGATATTCATTAACAGCCTTTTTTTTTCTTCCTGGAATTTAAGTCTACCCAAATCTCTTTTAATCACCTCAGCATTTAGAGCTGGAAGTAACATTCAGCAGGGAAAAGGTGTGCAAAAGCTTTCACATTTAATACAATTAATAGAATTTGGGGTAGGTTTTCTTGTGAAAAATCCTCTTTAAAATATGGATTACTGACTTGAGTAAGGAGTGTCTGTCTTCAGCACGGACCACATGTAATCACTTTTTATTTTATGCCTGGGAAATAAGCTTGTAAAACTTTTGGGGAACACAGAGTCCTTTGGTGCTCTGTGGTTTAAGTGTTCCTCCAGCCCTGACTCCACTCTCTGGCTCCTCCCACAGCCAGTGCTGGATGCTGAGCTCCCCTTCACTCCAGTCAAGACTAAAGCCCAGAAGTTTGCAGCAGCTGAAGTATTCAGTGACCTCATCGTGTTTTCTCCCGTTGGTCCCTCTGGGGATCAATGAAAAGTGACTTTAAATGCAAAAGATGTAAATTCTATGAACAGGAAGCCCACAGAGGGTGTCTGGAACACAATCTGCTACCCTGGAATGTGTTGAGAGAGGAAGAGTACCCATGGTAGTGGATCTGATGATGGGTTTGTGTCATTTGATGGTGCAGCTGTGATGCACCAAGCTCTGCTGTGCATCAGTAGTGGGCTGTGTTCTGCTGTATCCTCTGCCTGTAAATTCTCACTGCAACCTGAAGCATTTTTATGTTGCTATCATTTAATGTATTTCCTGTCTCCTCCAGGTTGTAAAACTGTTACCTTTGAGCTTTTCTACCCTGGTCTGACCTCATTGCTCCTTGTTGTTACAAGGTGCCCACCCCACCAGCTGTGCCCGTGCCCTGTATCTGCTGGGAGGGCACCTTCTGGGGTGACACCCAGCCTGTTCCTCCCCAGAACACTCTGCCCTGCTCTGGGGGTACCTGTGCACCCCCAGGCTGCTGTGTTAGCACCTGCCTCAGCACCAGCTCTGGCAGGGTTGGATGCATGCAATTCTTTCCTGGGAAAGTTTTCCTGATGTGTAAGAACCACTGGATTTGTAATATCAGAAACTAGCTCAGAACAAGGATTTCTAAGTCAGATAATACCTTTTCTTGGTGATGTATTGAAATAGGCATTGATATTATTTCCTTTAAGGATGCAGTTTTCTATTCAGTATCTTAATAGACCTATGTTTTCTACTTGTTTTTGACATGTTTATGCTCAGTCTCTTCTCTCATCTTGTTCCTTGTGCATTCCCCATCCAGACTGTAACATATTTGTGCATAAGGAACATGCCAATTCTATAGACTGTGGATTTGAAGAGAATCATTACAGTACCACCACTTGTTATATTTTTAACAAATACTTCACTGGGCTTCTTCTTGTACCAGTGACCTGAGTGTAACATACACATCCTTCCACCAGCCTTGATCCCAAACCAAGCAGAGATTTCAGTCCCTCAGCAGAAAGTGTTGCTGCCACTTGCCAGGGGTTAAGTTTTAACCTGGAAGCTCTGTACTGATTACACTGAATAAAGAGGAAGGTGATGTGTGCTGGAATCCATTTTCTTCATTTCTAACTCCAGTTCTAGGGATCCTTTTAATCACTTTCCTGCAGAGGAATGGTTTGGGTTGGGAGGGAACTCAATGCCCATCGAATTCCAGCCCCTGCCATGGGCAGGGACACCTTCCACAGGCCAGGTTGCTCCAAGCCCCATCCAACCTGTTCTGGAACACTTCCAGGGCTGGGGCAGCCACAGCTTCTCCATGCTGGTTTGTAGCAGTGTGCTGCTCTAGACTGCTGCATCTGCTGGAGATTTTAAGGACTCTGCTTGTAACTTGGCACTCAAAGTATGAAAGGAGTCACTGTTATAAAACAGCATGAGCCATGTCAGAGAAAGCTTTGGAAACTTCAGTGGTGGCTGTTGCACTGTTGTTTTCCAGACAAGACTGCAGTGACTCACAGCAAAGAGAACATACTTCTGTTTTCTTTTTTTACCAGCCTGACTCACAGGATGAACTTGCCAATAAAGCTCCCCACCCTTGAAACTGCTCTTGACTCACACGGGGGTGATGAGTGGGGAGCAGCACAGGCCTCGTGACCTGTTCATGGAGTACCCAACACTCGTAGGGATGGGATCTCCCTGGGGTGGGAAATGTTCCTGGGACATGCTGGAAGGACAGGGATGGCTTCTCCAGCCATGGTCTAGCAGGGGGATTGTGCTTCCTCCAGCTCTGAGCCCTCTCCTGAAATGCCTCATCCTGGTCAGGCTCAGAGGCTGTCAGGTTTTCTCTGTGCTTCCTAGAGGATTGCTGCCCCTGTCCACAGGACCAGGGCAGAATGCCACAGGCTGCTTTCCCAAGTTCTTCTCCACAGAAATCAAACTCCTTGTTGCTGCCTCTACAGCAGGAGCAGGAGCTCAGCTCCTTCCACATCAGAGCTCAGCTCGCCTGGAGCCTGCCATGTCTTTCAAGATATGATTAAACCAAATTGTCCAGGTTAAATGTTTTATTACCTCACAGTGAGCTGGTGGGAAGGCACTTGTGTTGCACCCTACAAGAGCAGAGTTTGCCCAGAGTCCCCCCAGTTAGATCATGGTGGGCACCACGCTGGTGAGGGCGATGTCCCCCCCGATGCAGAGCTTGGTGACCTCGTTCAGCCGCTTCTCGCGGAAGTTGTACTGCAGCAAGTGCGCGTCGTTCACCGCCACCTTGAAGTGATCCGTCTCACAAAGCACCTGGAGCTGCAAGGAAAGCCCCACATCAGCCCCAAAACCACCTGGATTTGTTCTAAGCCACACACCTGAGCAGGCTGGCACTGGCTGGAGGCGTGCGGAGGCGTTGCAACACCAGCGACCTTTGCCTTCCCAAAACTCTCCTGTGCTCTCCCTCCTCTGTGTTCCAGCCCAGTTTCTGCCTCCTCATCCCTGTGCCAGTCCCTCAAAGCAAGACTCCACATTGTGAACCTCCTTTGCAGGGAAAAACACCTCGTGAGAGGAGCTGCCAGCAGGGAAAACACATTACAGAAACCTGTCCAACCACTGTGCAGAACAACAGTGTAAATAAAGAGGGTTTCATAACCCATGGGGATACCAGAGCAGGGGAGAAGTTATGCCCTGGGCAGCTGGAGCTGCAGCAGGGGGTCAGAAGAGCTGGAAGGTGCTATAGGGTCAGCACATGGGGTGGCTGCCCCAGAAACAGCCCTGGGAGCTGATTCCTGTGCAAAAGCATCATTGTCCTTACACAGGCCTTGCTGCCCAAACCCTCTCAGTGCTTTTGGTTACTGAGACTGAGCTGAGATGGGTTTTTCTGGTACCTTGAAGGGTTTTCCAGCTTCAAATGGAAACCTGGGAGCTGTCCTCTCCTCCTTCCCCCAGGTATTCTGGAACATGGAATTGCAGACAATGACTTTCCTATTGTCTTCGTTGAAGCGGGGGTTGAAGTGGAAGGCAACGTCATTGCCTCTCTTGAAATCCAGTGAAAACCTGCAAAAACAATAATGGAGTTGCTGCTTTTGCCATAAAAGCCCTGAACTCTGTTACAGGGCTTCCCAAAAATAGCAGAGAGAAAACCCCACAGACCCCACAGGGCAACAACAAGGCATTTACACATTTGCTTGGTGTAACACTTGATGTTACACCAGGCAGGGGTTATTCAGGAATGGAAAGCAAAGTCCAGCCCCCCTGCTCTACCCTGCAGTCCCCTCACCCTCAGAGCTGGACCCCCCAGTACCTGTTTGGGTTGGGGTTCACAGTCCCAGTGATGGTGATGAGCAGCCGAGGGACGAGTCCTGCCTGCAGGGGCAGCTCAAAGGGCACTTTCTGGGAGACAACAGGCATTTGGTGTCAGCAAAACATCATCTCAAAGGCCCAATGCCACCCCTGGGGACAGCCAGCCCCAGGCCCCTCCTGTGGCCAAGCAAAATCAGCCCCTGAAGACACAAACCCTCATCATGATGGAGCCATTACCATTGGAGGGGTTGGTCCTCCCTGAGGAGCTGTTGGTCCTCCCTGTGGAGCTGTTGGTCCTCCCTGAGGAGCAGAAGGCCCAAATCCAGGGCCACTGGGTGGTTGTCCTGGGGCAGGATACGGCCCTGTTGCTGGTGGAGCTCCAGGGAATGCTCCAGGTGCTCCTGGATACGCTCCTGGTCCTGCTGGGCCTCCAGGATAAGCTCCAGGTGCTCCAGGGTATGCAGGGTATGCTCCAGGTCCTCCAGGACAGGTTCCTGGTGCTCCAGGATAGGTTCCAGGTGCTCCAGGATAGGCTCCTGGTGCTCCAGGATACCCTGGGAAGGCTCCAGGAGCTGCTGGTTGGTTGCCCCAGGAGGGCCAGCCCTGGGCTGGGGGGGCACAGGGGGCTGGGTTGTTGCTGTTGGCCAAGGCATCAGATAGCTGGGGACAGAGGAGAGGACAAGGTCAGCTGGGGGAGATTCCTGCTGGCATCACACTGAGATCTCCAAAGTCCATCTTTGGGAGCCTGCAGGTGGCCAAGGGCAAGAGCTCAGCTCTCAGCTGCTCCCTGGGCTTTTCCAGAAAAGTGCTGACAGAACTGGACAGGGTTTGGGGATTGAGCAGCTTAGCAAGGACAAGGATGTGCTCCCTTCCATCCCAGCCAAAGGTCTCTGCTTCAAGGCCACAGCCACAGCCCCCATGGGTTTTTAGGGAAATCCATACTTACAGAGAAACCGTCTGACATTTTTCCTGAAAAACAACAAAAAAGGAAGTGTCAGTCATTCTTAACCTGCCCCATCCAAAAACCAGAATTTTTGAGGGGAGTTGCAGTTTAGAGCAGTGATCTATGGGAATTGCTGAGCTGCCATCACATACCTGCCCAGCAGAGCTGACAGCTCCAAAGAATAAATCCTGGTCCAGCACCTGGGGGATAAACGGGAGGCACTGCTGGGAGCAGCCCGAATACCTCGGGGTGAACCCTCGGCATGGAATCCAGCACAGCTCACAACGCTCCCGGTGTTATTCACTCCCCCAGCCCTGAGGCACCATCCAGGATTTCCATTTCCATAAAAAAAAAAAAACCCAAACGGGATCCCCGGGGGGACACAGGGGCAGCATCAGCCCGGGGGGCGCAAACCCAGCCCAGCACATCGGGGACACCCTGTGACACTCGGGATGGCCCGGGATGGGCAGAGCAGGTGGCAGCCACCCACACAGGCCCCCTTTCTCCTCCCTTTCGTCCACAACTGTCCCTTTCCAGCCGGAGGGCGCCGTGGGAGGGCCAGCGGATGAAAGCTGCTTTGCAAGTTCTGTGAGTCCACAAACACACGGAGAACACGCACCTGCCTGTGTGCACAGGAATAGCCCGAGCTGGGCTCCTCCCGTCAAAGGGAGCGTTCAGAAGAGCAGGAAAAAGGGAGAGCCAGAAACGGGGGAAGAAAAGGAAAATGCCAAATTTAGAGCAGAGGAGGCGAATTCTCTTTGAAAGAAACGTTCAGATGCACAAAGCTCGCAGGAGGCGCGGCTGCCCTGCCTCGGGAATAACAAACCCCCGGTTTCACAGCCAGCAAATCACTCCTCTCCCTGCAAAACGCTGGGGGTTTTTAAGGCAGAAATGCAGTGACCCAGGGTGTTTGAGCAGTCCAAAGCTTTATTTGCCTTCTGGGCTCTTCCTAAAGCCCAGGGGTTTGCCGTAGTTTGGCAGGTGAAGCTGGGGGTGCACACGCAGCCAGGTCAGGTGTGCTCCACAGTGCCTTGGGCTGCTGCAGTGGGGGTCCTGCATGATGCCACTGGAACAGCTCAAGGAGCAGCAGCTCTGCTCCCTCAGGCCCCCAGGGACAGGCTGGCACAGCCTTGTGTCCCCAGACACATCGGGGCACTTTGGAGGCTGTACCCAAAATCCCCCAAACCCACTAAACCTCTGCCACCCCCAATCCCCTGCAGGCACTTGGAGCCCAGTGCCACCTCCTCTCTGCCACTGCAGTGCTGGAGCTCCTGGAGCTCTCTGGAAATGCCCTCTGGGTTATCTGCCAGCTGCCATGGGAAGGGGTTTTTCCCTTGCAGGGAATCACAGCACAGTGGGGCTGGAAAAGCCCTCTAAGCACATCCAGTGCACCCAGCACTGTGTCCCCAAGGGCCACATCCACAGAGCTTTTCAATCCCCCCAGCAATGGGGACACCACCACTGCCCTGAGCAGCTGTGCTAGGGCTGGGCAACCTTTTCCATGAAGGAATTTTCCCTAATATGCAGTTAAACCTCCTCTAGTGCAACGTGGGGCTGTTTTCTCTGTCTCCTGTTCCCGGGGAGCAGAGCCTGAATCCCTCCCGGATCCACCCTCCTGGCAGGAGCTGTGCAGAGCCACAGGGTCCCCCCTGAGCCTCCTTTGCTCCAGGCTGAGCCCCTGCCCAGCTCCCTCAGCTGCTCCTCGAGTACCTGAGCTCTGGTTTCCAGCAGCATTTGGGCAGCTGAGCTCCAGCTCACCTGAGCTCTCCCTGCCCCAGCAGAGGATCAGCTGCAGGGAACGTCCCAGAGCTGACCCCAAACATTCCCTGGGCTCACAGCAAGTGGGAAAACCCTTCTATTTGGGAAAGAAACACCAGTTCTCTCCCTTTTTAATTCTGCTATTTTATTTGAATTCTGCTGTTCCTGCAGAATTCAAATCAACCTATTCGTTCCTAAACATAACTGGCAGGATAGAAAAATAAAAACGGCTCATATTAAGAAGCATTTCTTGCAAAGTCCAGTCAGCATCTTCTGTCTTCCAATATCAACTTATTATAAAATATATTATATATAATATTATATTATAATATTATAGTATAATTTAATAATTGTAATATAATATAATATTATATCATAATATCATAATATAATTTAATAATTATAATGATATAAATATAAATAATATATTATAATATAATAGAATTATAATTATAATTCTTCACCCTGCAGGGATTTTGGGACAGGGCTGTCCAGCCCCTCAGGAGTTGCAAACACCTTTGGGGCTGCCCCACAGTCTCCATCCCTCCACCATCCCCAAATCCAGGGAGGGTTTCCGGGCTGTCCAGCCCCCCAGGGGTTACAAACACCCTCGGAGCTCCCCCTCAGTCCCCATTATCCCCAAATCCAGGGAGGGTTTCAGGGGCTACAAACCCCTTTGGGGCTCCCCCTCAGTCCCCATCCCTCCATCACCCCTGAACCACCCGGGGCTCTCCGTGCGCCCCAAACCGCACAGCCCGGGGCAGCTCCCGCCGGTCCCTCGCTCTCCAAACGCACCCCAAACTCTTCACTTCCAAGGATTTTGGTGCCTTACCCCCCTGTTCCCCCCGGATCCCTCATCCCTCACCTGCGTGCGGCGGCTCCGCGGTCGCTCTGGGCTCCGCACCGGGACCCGCCCGGGGGCGGGGCCGGGGCCGGGGCGGGGCCGAGCCGGGGACACCCGGGACAGCCCAAACACCCGGGACAGCCCCAAACACCCGGGACAGCCGCACAAACACCCGGGACAGCCCAAACAAACACCCGGGACAGCCCCCACAAACACCCGGGACAGCCGCACAAACACCCGGGACAGCCCCAGCAAACACCCGGGACAGCCCAAACAAACACCCGGGACAGCCCCAGCAAACACCCGGGACAGCCTCAAACAAACACCCGGGACAGCCCAAACAAACACCCGGGACAGCCCCAAACAAACACCCGGGACAGCCTCAAACAAACACCCGGGACAGCCCCAACAAACACCCGGGACAGCCCCCACAAACACCCGGGACAGCCGCACAAACACCCGGGACAGCCCCAGCAAACACCCGGGACAGCCCAAACAAACACCCGGGACAGCCCAAACACCCGGGCAGCCCAAACAAACACCCGGGACAGCCCCAAACAAACACCCGGGACAGCCTCAAACAAACACCCGGGACAGCCCCCAACAAACACCCGGGACAGCCCCCACAAACACCCGGGACAGCCCCAAACACCCGGGACAGACCCAACAAACACCCGGGACAGCCCAAACACCCGGGACAGCCCCCACAAACACCCGGGACAGCCCCAAACACCCGGGACAGCCCCCACAAACACCCGGGACAGCCCCAAACACCCGGGACAGACCCAACAAACACCCGGGACAGCCCCCACAAACACCCGGGACAGCCCAAACAAACACCCGGGACAGCCCCAAACACCCGGGACAGCCCCAGCAAACACCCGGGACAGACCCAACAAACACCCGGGACAGCCCCCACAAACACCCGGGACAGCCCAAACAAACACCCGTGACAGCCCCCAACACCCGGGACAGCCCACACCAGCCCCGTGTTTCCCCTTTTTCACCCGGGACAGCCACACCAGCCCCGTGTTTCTCCTTTTTCACCCGTGACAGCCCACACCAGCCCCGTGTTTCTCCTTTTTCACCCGGGACAGCCCACACCAGCCCCGTGTTTCTCCTTTTTCACCCGGGACAGCCCACACCAGCCCCGTGTTTCCCCTTTTTCACCCGTGACATCACCCCCGGGGGATGTTAACAGGGAATATTTGGTTTTCCCGGCGGTTTGTGCCTCGCCCGGCGGTTCCCGTTTCCCTGCCCTGCCCAGATGTTCTCTCCTTGCCAGATGTTTGCCCGTGTGCCTCACGGCTCCATCCCCCCAGCTTTAGCGCAGCTCGGGGAAACACCGATTGGATTTGAAATTCTGAACGTTTTCTCCTTCCCCACGAAGAAAATAAAAGCTAAAAAATCTTTGTTTTCATCCGACGCAGCGAGGCCGGCAGAGGATGGGCTCTGGAGGCTGCTGGAGGCAGCTGGAATTTCAACAAACCCGATTTTATTTGAGGTTGAGGGTGAATCATCTCTGGGCTCCACAGCTTAAAGCAATGGAAAAGAACAAAGTGGTTTTGAGCTGAAATCCTGATCTGCTGCTGGGAGAAGGGAAAGGGAGGGAATAGAAATTAAGGGAATTAGAATGGAACGGAATAGACTGGACTAGATTAGGATCAAACAGAAGAGAGGATTTCAGTGGGAAGACACCCACAATGAGCATCTAATCCACCTCCCTGAACAATTCAGGGCTGAGCAAAGGCTGCTGAGGGACGCACCCTCTAATTGGTGTCATTAGAGGCACGAACTGCTGCTTTTAGCCCTCAGCTAAAGGACTCAGCTGCGGCTGATAGCTAAAAAAAAAAAAAAAAAAAAGGCAAAAATCTGTCCACTTTAGCTCTGATTAATTTTAGTATAAATTCCTCTGCTTATCTAAAAGACTTTGCTTAAAAGAGAGAAGCCTCCTCTCCATCAGGGCTCTAGCCTGGATTTTAGCATCCTGCAGCTTCATGCCATACCTGTCACAGGGCTTCAGACCAAACCTGAGGGTGTAAAAATGGCAGGGATGCCCATGGGAATGGCTGGAAATTGAATATTTCAGGGAAATGTGTATATTATACTTAATGTGTATTAAGCAATAGATATTAAGAGTATTAGTATATAAGAAATGCACTTGATTAGGGAGCGCTGCCTCAGTTGCCTCTCACAGCAGCCAGCCCACAGCAGACAGACACTGCAATGTCTTTGGAGGAGTTTCAGGGCAAAGGGACCTGGAGAGGACTCAAGCCAGCAAAGCTGAAGGATCCCTGGTCCATGGCAGGAGGAGCTGCAGCTTCCTGAGCCTGTAACTCAGACAGGGCCCTATGAATTCCTTAGAGCACAGGTTTTCCCTTCCTCTCTAAAACTCCCTCCAGATGTCTTTGAAGAAAGATTTTCCTGGAAAACCTTGAACACCTCATTGCTGTCTTCGGGATTTTACTCAAAGGCTTCAAACATCAACCAAAAATCTTGGCCTGGTTTTATTTTTCCTGCTCCAATGCCCTGAGGTTTTTACTTTCAGTTATGCAAGACAGAGAATTCACAGAATGACTCAAAGATCATCGAGTCCAACCCAACACATGAGGATAAAGAAAATGTGTCCAAAAGT